AAGTAAGGGAGAATATAAGGCATCTACACTTCTACCATATAAGGAGACACTCCCTATTTAGGATTCTTAATAACAAAGCAGGAATTAGAATGGTCGCATTCAAACCTACAAACTCACTCAGAGACAAGCTCTGTAGGCTAAAAGACCCTTTCGGTTGACCCAAATAAAGAAAATAATATCATTTACAAAATACCCTGCAATGACTGTGAGTTAGGTCAACTACCTACATAGGTCAAACTAGTAAATCGGGGGTAATCAGATTGTCAGGACATAAGAATTTAGCTAAGTTAAGAATGGTTGACCCCACCCGAGAAGATAAGTAATTTAGAAAAACGCTCAGCTCGGATGTCCCACCAACGACATTGGTTGTGCTCGCGCTAAATCACGAATTGGTAGAGGTTAGAATTCATGCGCTGGCTGGCCATTTAATCGAGTCCCAGTGAGTGGTGGCCTAATTGTATACGAGCCAGCTAGCTTGCATTGCTTGTAACCGGAAGGTCCTGGATTCGAACCCCGTTGCAGTGGGTGGTGGGTGCGTACCACCGATGATCATTCCCAAACTAGGCTGATGAAACAACTGTCTGTCTTGCAGTACTCCCCAACGCTCCAGCTGGTTATCAATGCTGCTTCTCTAACTCCTCATTGATGATATCAATCCGTGCGTGCGTGCGTGCGTGCGTGGTCAAACTTGTAAAAGAAGCTTAATTCAACTGAAAAACCCACTTGAACAAGAATGAATGAATGAATTTCAGACTCAGTTTTCTAGTAATAATTAATACCAACAATGGATGAATCATTGAGTCACTCGTTTGCAGTGTGTGTGTACAAAGCTAGTCAACCACACCCACCCACACACACACACACAGAGTCCAAGTTCGATTCCTAAATGAGACTCACTTCTAAATCCTGCCTAATCTGCTGGCTAGTCGTAGTAAGCCTGGATAAGAACACAAAAAGGTTGGTTGGCAGTGACGTGTTGGTTATCAGTCCCACACTCCACGCCGCTACTGAAGTCTCCCTTATTATTTTCCATTCAGAATGCCAAGGGAAATTCTGTTCTGAGATCATCTATCCAGTGTTATTTCCTTGGCGTGGTCAAGTTCAACAATAGCGTCGTCCCAAGGGATGTGCGAACCCCCAAACGAGTGTGACCTTCAGCTGACCAAACATAAAAATAAGTGACTTTTGCGCACATACACACACACCAGAAATGACGTATATTTACAAGAACATGAATGCATGAAATTACATTACATGAAACAGGGCATCTTTCTCTGACACATGACTTTACTTGACTTAAAAATATGAGTCCAAGTTATAAATGGGCAGTTTCGGTTTCCTAAGTTACACTAGTTTCTCGTAAATGTATGTATATTAAAGTGAGCAATATTGTGGTTAGGCTTCGGTCGAGTGATAGGTAAGGAGGGAGGGGAAATCAATCGACGAGGCTGTGAAGCTACATCGACTGAGATGGTAAGAACATGTGTTACGTAGGCATACCTAGTCATCGCCTTCCTCGACAATAAATAATGTTAAGTGACATTGGGTCAGGCTGGTAAAGAGTTAGCGTCGGTCAAACCAAAACATGGCTTCACCAGTCAATGAAATCCACAACAGTTAGTTTAAGCCAGCCAGCCACGTAGGAAGGTGTAGACTTGCTTCCTGACTGGTTGGGGTCCTCGGGATGACGGTAAAAACCAATGAAGGCTGGAAACAATTGGTGATATGGCCGGCTCGAAATCCTTCTAAAAGGCTGGCTAGCGCAGTTGCATCCACTTCTTGTGACTTATGATTTCCAATGAAACTATATCGTTCTTCGTTATTACTATTCCTTTGTCTCACCACACCTCTGTGTTTACTGTCTCTCTATTATGCGTTCCTTCGACTTTCTACCCTTGCTTTGTGTGCTAAATGGAGTGGAGGGAGTGTGGCGACTTGAACTGGTGCACATCGGTGCAAAGTGGTTCTATGTCGAAAACAGACAGACAGACAGACAGACAGAGTTCTAAGGAGATCTAAATAAAAACATGCAGATTGTGAATAGATATCCAATCCAATCCAATCCCTGGATCTTTCACGTGTACTTCCCAAGTGTTCCTATGTAAACACTGACTTGTAATTTCAACAAAGCAAGAACTACAGTGGCTTTTGTGCAGAATAAACCGAGTGGTACCATCATCACTGTTTATTTCGTTGCCTTCTCGTCAGCTCAGCTGCTTACAGGCCAAAAACATTATTAAATATATCTACAAAATGAAATTTTCAACATACTTGCACAGAGAGTTCATTTTAAACAAAAATCAATCACTCAATCGATCAATATATGCATACATTACGATAATATTTATATGCTTATTTTAGTAAGCCGGTTTGTAGACAAGAGACAAACATCACGTGATTACCTTATTTACGCCTCCTTTTTTGTCATACCTTAAGCCGTGTCTAGCATATATGTCGGGGCAGTCGTTTTCATTTCACACTGGCGAGTGAAGTTAGCTGATATTGATCAAACTAACTTGAGTCGGGCGGTGCAGCATTAGAATGCTTGGCAACACCAGCCATGTGGTCCGGGATTCGACCGGACTCCAGCCGACTCATCACTCCTAGACCTACCTCACTTAGCTTGCAGTTAGCTGAAGAAAGATGGGAAGTTTGGCGTCACGGGCTTGCTACCCACCCCTGCGTTAAAGCCCCATGCTGCGCTCGGAACGTGAAGGGACAAAAAACACTTAAACGAAGTATGAGAAGAACCGAATCCTAACGATATTTCCCATATATTTATAGCTAAGCTACTTAGTTACTCGTTCCAGTTGAATGTGCGATATTAGGAAACATTGCATTATGCCCCAATCTTAACGTTTCGTATTCCCCACATACATTTTATCCGATATTTGGTTGCCCCTTCATACTACTATATAGCTAATATTATGTTTCTTTCACCACACTATTTGATAAACATTGAATGTGGTGGTGGTGCTCGATGTCCGGAGATGACAACGTAGGTGTTCGAGGATAGAGCAGCTACTGCTGCTGTTCTTCTTTCCTCTTCTGTCTAGCTGACTAACCAAGCTGAACAGCGCTGCAGAATACGTTTGTCGACTTGACGTTGCGTACGGCGTACGGCCGATATACTTTGCTCCACACGAGCAAGTAAATTGATATAAATACACACACATTGAAGTGGCCAAAAGCGCTATCTTATCCTTAGCGTTAGACTGGATTAACTGTCTGCAGGAGAATGTGATACGTCAAGGTGGCTGTTGGAAATGTCTTCTTCAGACATTTAGAAAGGCGGTTGCTGTGGATTTCCGCTGCTGAGATGTCACCTTTGAATTCTAGGTTCATGAAAAGTCCTCTTAGGAATTGTTGCGAAGTTTGACACCGAAGGCTTCTCCTTCAGGTTTTGTCGATAAATCTTGGTGGATACCTGTTCTGTAGTAGGCTTCCACGTAATAAATTTAATTCTCTCTCTACCATGTCTTCCGAGCAGATTTTTCTAATCCTTGATTTAAACATAATGTACGTACCAGGTTTCGCTTTCGGTTCAGTGGGACAAAGCTCTGGAAGTTGATAAACTGTCCAGTCCATGTTGGCTTGCGATCTGTCGATCTTTGGATCGCACAGTTGTGTCTTCTGGTGAGTAGTACATCGAGGAATGGAAATGCGTTGTTCGATTCGGGTTCTAAAGCGAATCTTATTGATGGGTGTGCTGCGTTGAAGGTTTCGAGGAGAGAATCTAAATCGGATTTTTCATCACAGATTATGAACGTATCACCTACGTATCTCCTGTATGAGTGCAGTTGACTTATCAACTGATCAAGGATGTTGTTTTCTAGACTCAAAATGAAGCGGTCGGCTACGAGTGAACCAAGGGGAGACCCCATGGCTACACCATCTTTCTCTACATAGAACTGTTCATTGAATTTGAACTGGATATTGAACGTACATCTGAGAAGAAGTTCCTTCAGGTAGTTTATGGGAAGAGGAACTTCTATGTTGTTAGTTTCGATGTAATTACAAATGAAGCATATTCTTTCGGTCAGAGGGGGATGCTTGTGAATAGAGAGGCGACATCTAGTGAGAGCATTTGTCTTCCAAACACGTTGACATTCTTCACTGAGTCGATGAAGTCAAATGTATCATCTCTGAGGGTATTTTTTTTGTCATATGCCATTTTACTGGTTCAAGGATATCAGCTAGCCCTTGTTCGCGATTTGTTGATATGGTGAGTTAACCATGTCTATTACAGGTCACAGTGGGACATTCTCCTTGTGCACTTCAGGCGGTCCATACAGTCTTGGCTAGTAGAACTTCAGACTGAAGCTTAACTTAAAGCCCCATCCTGTACTCGGAACGTGAAATGACCAAAAAAAAGCAGTCAAACGAAGTATCATAAGAACCGAGTCCTAATGATATTTCTATACATTTATAGCTAGCTACTTAGTTTATCGTTCCAGTTTAATGTGCGATATTAGGAAACATTGCATTATGCCACAATCTTAGGCCTTTCGTATTCCCCGCTTACCTTTCATCTCATATTTGGTTGCCCCTTCATACTGTGGTGAGAGCTGTCTGCTAGCCACAAATTGGTAGACAGTAATTTACGTCAATATTTATGTCCCCAAAATTGGTCATGAGAAAGCAAGAACAAAGACTGACTGACTCAATCAACAACCAATCACAGAACACTTTGTTTGCGTAGGCGGATACAATTTGCAGATAGATAGATGATATGACCTTCAAGAAACAGTCACAAAGAGAAACAACCACCAATCAGAAGACTGTGTTTGTCTGCTAACAATAACCGATAATAATAATAATAAAATCGATAAATATCCGTTGATTTCCTTAATAAACGATCTGTTGAGCGGCCCTTGTTGTCTTCTGTTGTTACAATACTATATAGCTATTATATATGTTTCTTTGATCACACTATTTGATAAACATTTAATGAGTTTCCCACACCCCTCCCATAACTCTTACGATTATTTCCTTTTAAGCATTAAAGATATCAGTCAAGATCGTACATGGTTGAAGTCGAGTGTATTTGAAGTTCAAGTGAAGTGTATCTGTGAAACTCGTGATTTTGTACAAGCAAGTGATCTGGAGCGCGCATTGAAAGCCAAGTATAAACATGTTGTCTGGGGTGATGAGTCCATTTGGTGATTATTATTATTATTATTACTATTATTATTATTACGCTTCCCCTCCCCTACTCTTGTTAATTAACATAATTACACATTTCTGATATAATCAACGAAATCTTTATTATTATTATTATTATTATTAATAAACGTGATACCAGAAACCCATTCCGCATAATCCCCCTCCCCATCTCATCTCTCTTGATCAGTTTTTACTTTGTTCTGGTGATTCCCTGTTCTCTCTCTCTCTCACTTTCTCTTCTTCTTGCTGTTTCCATGTTCACTTCTTCTTCAGGCTTGACAACCAACCAACAAACAGATCAATTCTTATTCTCCCTTTTTTTATTTTTATTTTCATTTATTTATTTATTTTTTATGGAATAAAACAGATTTGATTATACATTTCAATTGAGCAGCTAACTGATTTCTCAACTGTGTACAATTTTCAATATTTATAGCAAAGAAAAAATATTCATTCATTCAGACATCTTCTATCTATGGAAAACACAAAATGCATAATTGAGCCAGCAAAGAATATCCCCCTTTTCGATAAGAAGTTCCTCCTCCTTCTCTTCTCGCTCTACAATTATATCTATATATATGCATGTCTGTTTATATACATAGAATATTCTAGATTAGTAGTAGTCAGTAACAATATTAGTGTGTGCTTTTTAAATAGTAATATCGATTTGTAGAAAGTAAGATCACAATGGAATCACCACAGTTCATTAGAGTTGCTCGTTAATATGGATACCAACAGCCAGCCTCAGCAATATTTAGTAGTCGAACTCTTAAGGTGAAATTGAGATTTGTTGTTGGTATGCAGTAAATGACGGCAGAGGATTGAGGCACAAATCGGCTGATTACTGAAGATATCAGGTGTTATCGTGTTGTTGTGTTTGGTCTATCCTACGTTGTTTTTAGTCGTTTAATAGACTGAGATGCATTTTAAATACCATATTTCAACGAAAAAATAGGTAAAAATTGAGAAAAATAGTCGTTTTCAGTGTGTTAACAAAATGCTGTCTTTTCATCAAAGTGACATGCTGAGGTACATACGAAATGTCTGAATTCCTTGGAAAATGTCAATTACGATAGGAAATACTTGATACTTCCCATTACTGGACCATGTTTTACGTAAATGGCGTTGAAAGTCGGGGTAATTATGATTTCATGATACTTACAAATTTGATAGTGTGCAAAATTCCCATATTATGAGATATTCCGATTAGTAATCTGAAACAACTATTTGTTAAATGTACAGCAAACGTTCAGTTCTTGTTTAATAATGAAATATACAGACAGAATGATGGAGTAGCCATAGGATCCCCACTGGGACCTATTTTCGTGAATATATTTCTAGCAAAACTAGAAAATAGTCCCTTGAAAGAGGAAATAGCAAATATGGAAATGTATTGTCGTTACTTGGATGACACTTTTGTAGTGTGTACGATGAAGGGTTAAGTAGTGCTTTGATTCTGAGCAACTTCAATAATGCTCACCCAGCGGTCCATTTCACCTACGAAGGAGAATGCAACGACTCTTTACATTTCCTCGACGTCCTACTAACGAGAAGAGAGGGTGGTTCTGTCAAAAGAACCATATTTAGAAAGCTAGAGTCCAAAGCTCAGTATACGCACTTCCTTAGCTTTGTACCGATGAAATACAAACGTAATCTGATCAGATGCTTAGCATTTAGAGCGAGGCCTATTTGTTCCGAAGACTGTGTAGAGAAAGAACTCCAGGTCATCCGAGACATTCTAAGCGAGAACGGATATCCAGAGAAGTTCATTAAAGCCAACATAGGTTACAACAGTCGTAAAGATCGACTGGGAACGGTGGAGAAAAAGCCTCTGTTTTTAAGTCTCCAATTCAAGGAAGATACTCCTGTGGAGATTCCATCGCAACGTTTAACCAGGGCGATCAAAAAAACTTTCTACTCCGCACGTCTCTTTCTATCCTTCAGTAACCGTCCAATGTTCACCCAGCAACTCAAAGATGTCTAACCTATACTTAGCTCTTCTTCATGCATATACCATTTCAACTGTTCCTGTGGTTCAAGTTATATCGGGCGCAAGATTAGGCAGGTTCGTCTACGAGTTCGAGAACATTTACCAGCTTGTTTCGGCAGGGGGGAAATTAGGTGCATACAAAGCTCGATCCTGTCACACTTGGTCGATATTGGACACCATATCGATGTCAGCACAGCTTTCAGGGTTATATACCGAATTCCGAAGTCGTTATCACGTACAGTTCGCTTACGTCTTCAACACATAGCTGAAGCTGTTGCAATAAGATCGACTAAACCGGAACTTTGTATCAAAAAAGAACACGTCCAGGCGCTGTTCCTACAGTGGCCAAACTTGGATTGATGATTTTTCTTCTCACCAAGAATACTCCTTCCCCTTAACCCTCTTGGCTTTTTTTGTTCCTTTGCTTATTATTACAGATATTATTATTATTCGTCATAATTTATGCCCTTCATGTAGACATTCTCTCAATACTATCGAAGTTTTCGTTCATACTATCCGGACTTATTATCAGTAGTGATATTATCTCTTTTCTCAATATATGCCTCCACCTGTTTCATTTCACATATTCGTTATCTCATAATGAACCTCCCATTGCAGTCTTACTATCTCCTGTTTAACACAGACCACTTTGTACTAGCCACTCACCTGACACCTTTTATAATCACCTTGAACTGACTTGTCAATTTTCCTACCCCACACTCTACAAATCTATTATGATTAATCACCACCATTGTCTCCCGTTTCACCGAAATATTTTGTAATCGAATTCAGCCTAGCACGTTTGTCACACAAATACGACTATTTATTTTGACACCCCATAACTGCTAATCTGTTATTCTACGTTAAAAATGTATCTGCCGCATAACTGGCCTTTATTGTAACGACAACAAATACGTTATATTTTATAATTGTAAGAACCTGAAGAGAAATTATTGAAAAGAATATTCTTCGTTCAGATTGACTTACAAATTTCACAATCAAAAAGGAAAGCGAGTTGATTAATTCGCGAGATAACGGTGACGAGACAGTCATATAATTAATTGGTAGGTACCGTGTTTGGGGGCTGTTTATTTAATTCATCATTACTTCCACAATCACTCAGTACATTTAGACATTCTAATGCTATTAAAGCGGACAAAATCTTTTTGAATGATGAAATATTTGTGATATTACGAATTGATTTATTGAAATGAATATTTTTTTTAAAGTTTGCTCTCCACTCTAACTCTAGCATCTCGAAAACACAGCTTCGGTACCAAAGAAAGCTATCTTTATTAACCTACCATTCAAGGGTGACCAGATTATGCAGTTGACAGCTCAAAGACTTCGATCAGCCATCAAACGCACATTCTACGCCGCATCTCTTTTTCTCACGTGCCGAACATTTTCGATCCCTGTACCTACGATTAAGGGACGAAATTCTGTGGACTCTACTTCAAACAGTATCTACAAGTTCACCTGCAGCTGCGGTGACACATATATAGGTAGAACCAACAGAATGTTCCAATGTTGTCGAAAAGATCATGTTCCAAAATGGCTACTAAATCATATTTAAAATCCCAATGCCAGTAATCTGAATAGAAATCCACCTTCATCATCCATTGCAAAACACTTATTAATGTCAGGTCACAAAATCAGTGTTAATGACTATTTCACAATTATTTCACATAACTCTAATTCAAGGTTATTGAAGGTGATGGAAGCACTTTGGATTAATCACATACAGCCTAAACTGTGTGTATAGTCAAAACGATAGACTTCAACCTTCGCCTACCATGGACTGACTAATTGACCTATTTAAATGTGATGATTGGTCATTAGCATAGAAAGTACTTTTGTTTTTTATATAACTGAGTAATTGTCATGAACTTTATTTTATTATTGTTAACCATGTTAGTTGTAAAGCGGTTGTAAAGAAACTACGAAATGATGTCATCTCGCGAAATTTGTCTTCCTAATGCCTTATTCAAATTTATCAAAGGGACTAATTGTTTTAATTAATAATACTTGTTGTTTCTCAAGTTGAAAAGTGATGCCAGTTTAGAAGACGTAATATACGTGAAATGTTATATTTACATGTGATTGAATTTGGGTATGATGCGGGGGGTTCTATTATTGCTTTTTAGTAATGGCTTTCGCTCGGGTAAACCGTAAATAGGTGATCTGCACAACAAAAGCCTATCAAATATGATAACAAAAAGTAATCAATGAAGTTTAGTGACATGGTCAACTAATACACAAGTCTAAGCGAGGGATGATGTTGTGATCATGTAAGAGCATACTGTGATACGAAATGATAACACAAGAAGAGTAATGTAGTTTTCTCTTTAATTACCTAATCGTTTCCTTTGAGATAGTGGTGTTGAACGCAACATAATAATAATAGAATAACAGACTATTTGTGATAAATAGGATATACGTTGCATAGTCTGCTTGAAGTGCTTAGACTACCAATAGAAGTCTTGTACGTATAGAACCTACGTTTGTTAGGTTATGTTTCGCTATTACAGTACAAACACATGTTCAACGGCTATTTTCCTAACAATTATTATTGCTATTATTGTTTCCTTGGGTTCCTAGTGGAACATAGGGCTTCAACTGCACGTCTCCACTTGCTTCTGTCTTCAAATGTACTCTTCACCTGCATCCATGTTAATCCATACTGTTCCAAGTCCTCTTCACACGAATTCCTCCATATCACCCTTGGACGTCCCATTCGCCACTTCCCTTTTGGGCTCCACTCGACGGCTTGACGTGCAATGTCACCTAACGGCCTCCTCAGCGAGTGTCCAATCCATCCCCACTTTCTCTTGCATATCTGTTGGGCGATTGATTCTTGCTTCGTTTGTTTGTTCCCATAGTTTCTTGTTGGTTTTTGTTCTTTCCAGGCATCTGATCTTCAGTATGATTCTAGCGAAGACAGTTGTTGTTGATAAAGGTCTGCAACAAGCTGTTGGAAATATTCTTTGTGACCCGCCGACAAGTTTCTGATCCTTATGGAAGAACTGACTGACTTGACGT